GTCAGGAGTGTTGTGTGACAGAAGAGTGTCAGCAAGAATCAAAGGAAAGGTGTACAAGACAGTAGTGAGACCAGCTATGCTATATGGGTTAGAGACTGTAGCAGTGAGGAAAAGACAAGAGGCAGAGATGAGGATGTTGAGATTCTCTTTAGGAGTGACCAGGATGGACAGGATTAGGAATGAGCACATCAGAGGGACAGCTCAGGTCGGCTGTTTTGGGGACAGGGTCAGAGAGGCCAGATTGAGATGGTTTGGACATGTGCAGAGGAGGGATAGTGGTTATATTGGTAGAAGGATGTTGGAGATGGAGCTGCCAGGCAAGAGGTTAAGAGGAAGGCCAAAGAGGAGAAATATGGATGTGCTAAAAGAGGACATGAAGTTAATTGGGGTGAGAGTAGAGGATGCCGAGGATAGAGTTAGGTGGAAACAGATGATTCGCTGTGGCAACCCCTAACGGGAACAGCCGAAGGAAGAAGAAGAAGGGCTGCAGAGGAGCGCCACTTATGCCAGTGTGACTGTGCTCTTGCAGGTAGACAGCATGTGAATTAGCAGATCCCCACCCAGCCACTGCAAAACTGTTCATGGGTTTCATCTTAACTTTTAAAGTCATATACTGTATGCACTCAGTCCAAAAAGTCCAAAATTTGTTGAAATCAAATCTGATGGAGGAGGGGAAAGAAAAAGAGAAATTAAATGGCAAAGCCACGCAGGCATGTGATGAGGATAAATAACATTAATCGGTATGACTTACCCAAAGGTGGATCTCATTTTTGCACTGAGTGCTTAGACTTTGTCTGAGTGTAAATGTAATAAATCCCTACAAGCTTATGAGCAGTGGCTGGGTGAAAGATTTAAGTTGACTGGCATTGTAACTGCAAGAGCATGGTTATACTCACAAGGTAAGGTAGCACTCCTCTTGTTGGCCCAGTCATTAATTGCTGCACGAGGGACAATAAAACTCTGGACCTACTGTATGCAAATGCAAGAAATGCATACACCTCTCCCCCCTCCCCCCTCTAGGTCGCTCTGACCACAACCTTGTCCACCTGCTTCCTGTGTATACTCCAGTGGTGAAAAAGGTGTCACCAGAAGTAAGAATGGTGAAGGTATGGACAGAGGAGGCAACTGAGCAGCTGAGAGACTGTTTTAACACAACAGATTGGGACATACTCTGTAGTCCTCATGGAGAGGACATAGAGGACCTCACACACTGTATTTTGGATTACATAAATTTCTGTGTGGAAAATACGGTGCCATCCAGAAGAGTACGGTGTTTTCCCAATAACAAGCCATAGGTGAGCCCTGAGTTAAAGGCACTGCTGAATGAGAAGAAGAGGTTTTTTTTATATCAGGGGACAAGGAGGAGATGAGCAGAGTGCAGCGAGAACTAAAGTACATGATCCAGAGGTGCAGGGCTAGCTTACGGGAAGAAGCTAGAGCAGAGCATGGAAAAGAACAACGTACGCGAGGTGTGGAAAGGACTGAAACACATCTCGGGTCACGGAGATGATAGCAGGGATGGCCACCAGGCCGCAGGAGACCAGGCCTGGGCAAATGAACTGAATCTGTTTTTTAACAGATTTGACTCTACCCAGTCCTTAGCCCCCACCCTGCCAGCCTGCCAGCCTCATGGTGGACAAGGTCAGGAGGGAGTTAAGGAGGATTAATGCCAGGAAGGCCACAGGCCCTGACCACATCAGCCCCAGAGTCCTCAGGGAGTGTGCAGACCAGCTCAGTGAAGTGGTCCTGTACATGTTTAATCTGAGTCTTAGCCTGGAGAGAGTTCCGGTTCTGTGGAAGACAGACCCGCTGCAGTTTGCATATCGACCTGGCATCGGGGTAGATTATGCTATTATCTACTGTACATGCTGCATCGGGCCCTATCTCACCCGGAGTTCCCTGGAAGTATTGTGAGGGTCATGTTCTTTGACTTCTCCAGTGCTTTCAACACAATCCAGCCGTCACTGCTGAGGGGTCAGGTGTGGACCAACACCTGTCTGCATGGATCATTAACTACCTCACAAACACAAACCTCAGTTCGTAAGGCTGCAGGACTGTGTGTCGGACATGGTGGTCTGCAGCACGGGGCCGCCCCAGGGGACGGTGCTTTCCCCCTTTCTGTTCACCCTCTACACCTCGGACTTCAAGTACAACTCCCACCAGTGTCATCTACAAAAGTTCTCAGACAACACTGCTATTGTTGGATGTGTATCTGGGGGAGACAAGGGGGAATACAGGGGGTTTGTTACTGACTTTGTAGAGTGGTGTGAGAAAAATCACCTGGTTCTGAACACCAGCAAGACAAAAGAGATGGTGATTGACCCCCGGCAGAAATCACCAGTACTCACGCCGGTGAGCTTGCAGGGCTCAGATATTGAGATTGTGGACACCTTTAAAAACCTGGGTGTCCACCTCAACAATAAGCTGGATTGGAGCAACAACACAGATGCCCTGTACAGGAAAGCCAGAGCTGCCTCCACTTGTATGAGGAGACTGGAGTCCTTTGGTGTGCGCGGGGCAGTCCTTCGGACATTTTATGATTCTGTGGTGACATCTGCAGTTTTTTACGCTGTTGTGGGTTGGGCAGGAGGTAGCACGGTCAGAGACAGAAAGAGACTCAACAAGCTGGTTAAGAGAGCTGGTTCTGTTCGGGGCTGCTCTCTGGATTCCATCGAGGAGGTGGCGGACAGAAGGATGCTGGTAAAACTAACATCCATCATGAATAACCCCACCCATCCCCTGCACCACACAGTGGTGGCTCTGAACAGTTCTTTTAGCATGAGACTGTTATATCCCCAGTGTAAGAAGGAACGTTACCGCAGGTCATTCCTCCCCACAGCAATCAGACTGTACAACACATCACTGCAGTGATAAGATAGGTGAAATTATGAGGGACTATGCAATAGTCGACTGAGGTGCAATATTCAGCTCCTGGGGTTGAAATGCATTGTAAATAGGCTCATGTGTAATATCTTGCTCTCAAATATTGTACATTACCCTGCTTTAGGTATTTCCTCAGGGATCCTTATAGCTGAAATACAGGTTTCTTTCCCCCATTGTGGGATTAATTGTGAGAGCAATATTCAATTGTTCTTGATTTCCTGGTTGTTTTCTTGATTCCTCTCAATACTATTCTTTTTTGTCTTGTTCCAAGGTATCTTTTTTGACTTGTGTCTCAGGGACAAACTGTGGGAGTCTCTATTCTTGTTCTTGATTTCTCTGAAATACTATATTTTTGTTTGGTTTTCGGGTACCTGAATCTTGTTTTCTCAAGATATGTGTGGGGTGTTTATTCTTATGGTGTCATGTTGTTTTGTCCTTTACTGCTGCTGGAACACTGGAATTTCCTCACTGTGGGATCAATCAAGTTCTACCTACCTAAGCAAATGTTAAGTGCACAGAGAGACACTACCCGAAATCAAGCTCTGTGAGTCTCTTTCTGAACGTTGCAAAACAAAGTCTCCTTCTCAACCTTACGTGAATCAAACTAAATCAGTTTAAAACACACGATAACATCATACTTGTATTAATCTCGCCTCCATATGTTTCTGAGTCATTCTGTTTTCCCCTACACAGCAGTCTACAGGCTGTGACGCAGCGTCAGGGCTCTTCAGGGTCACGTGACGCTTTGTTGACGTTAGAGCACGGGGGAAAATGGCGGCTCGCTGGAGCAGTGAGAATGTCGTGGTAGAGTTTCGAGACGCTCAGGTATTTCTGTCCTAAAGCTCAGGTGTGAATAAAGTGAGGTGGAGAGGCCAGCAGGTGAGGTCCGTTTAACGGAGAGAAACGGAGCCAGTAGCATCGGGAAAACTCCCGTTAGACACAAAACTACAACACCCAGCCCAAGTTTAAACCGCCATACATGTAACTTGATTTTATTTATGTAGTGATTAATCGAGTTAATCGGTTTAAATGTTGATAATCACATGATGGTTTAATCTTTTAATGGAGCGCTGCACATGTTCTAGTTCGGGCTTTGTCCTGATAGCAGTAGCTAGCTACCGTCTACACCTAGCATCTACAGTCTCCTTCTTGTCAATGTTTATCAGTTCATATAAGTGGAGACATTACGTTAAATGCAACAATATCTGGAATACTTGCTAACATAACTAACGTAAACAAACTTGACAGCAGCGATTGGCAAATAATTTGTTGCGGATGAAGGTTGGGACGTCTGTGTATTCAATTGGATTGCAATTGCAGCAGCTGTACTGAATGAAGTTGTGTTGTTTAACGTTTGTACCATGTATGCATGGTAAATGCTGTAGGCCTAAACTTAAATAACTAAAACTCCAGTCTACTACAGTCTTTAGACGAGTTACTCTGAATCAGGGGCATGTAGTGAAGTCCAGGTATGGAGCAGGACATGGACAAACTCAAGTATAATACAGATACCTCAGAACTGTACTGAAGCATAGTACTTAGGTAAATGTACTTAGTTATTTTCCACCTGTATTTACAAATATTCATAGCTGGAACCTGCCCAGTATGACCAGTTTGTGTGATGATTTACACGAGATCTAGTGCAAACACATGTGGACCAGAGTTAGCACACTGCCATAAATCCACACAAATCGCCTGCTTCTTTTTTTCAGGCCACCGCCATGTCAGTGGACTGCCTGGGCTCCCACGCCGTGCTTTCTGGGTAAGTTTAGATCACCTGAACGTACCACTATGTTGCTAAAAGCCTCAAGAAGGTTTAGAAAAAAGCATAATTTAATTGTATTGCACTCAGCTCCACATATCATCCAGTACAATGTGTGACCTGGCCCACACTGGATGTTTTATAAGCTTGTTTAATATCCACTCCTCAAAAATCCTGTTTTGTGCTGCTTCATTTTCTGTGTTGTTATTTTAAATTGTGTTAAATTATGTTTTTTTCTTTATGTTTGTCCAGTCCCTGAAAGTCCTTTGATATTTTATTGTCGCATATTTTCTGAGGCACTTTGAAACTCTGGTTTTAAAATGCACTAGAGAAATAAAGTTACTTCTTGTGGACCTGGTTCTCTTGAGGTTTCTCCTTAACATCAGGCCCCTGCGCTCCACAGAAGCAAGAGCCAAGACTGAAAGATAATCTCATTATAGATGTCTCACTGTGATTGTTTTACATTTCCCTGGGGGTGTTTTTGTGTCTTTCCCTGAGACCTTTTGCAGACAAGCTCCGGGACCCTGGGTCACCACAGAGTACCATGTCAGTAAACTTAATTGAAACTTCAGTTTTTGGCTGCTGCTTTAAAAATTCATGAATGAAATCTAAACTCCAGAGACTAGTAGCCAGTAATTATTTTACACACAAATAAAGGGGGACAGCTTAAATATATCTTCACCTCTGACCAATTTATGTCAAAGTTAATGGAAATACACACTCAGTGACTGGGGTTAAAGGACAAGATGAAATGAGGAGTAATGCTGGTGGAGAATGAGCTGTCACACTCCATCACACAAACATCTCCAACCATCTCGTGTCACTCTTTGTTTTCCAGGCGGCGGTTCCTGTACTTGGTGAACCTGGAGGCTCCATCTGAACCTCCTCGTAAAATTGGCCGACAGAGTAAGTGGGACGTGGGGACGGTTCAGTGGAATCCGCACAAATCGGAGTCGCACGTCTTCGCTGCCTCGGTGAGTTCTGCTGTTAACGGTGACAAACATGAGAAGATCGTTGAGTCTGCACATGAAGAAAATCATAACATTGTGAATAGGAAAACCACACAGTATAGCAAAGTACTTTTGTTAGTGTGTATTTTTGTGTGTCCAGAGTAACCAGCGTGTGGACCTGTACTCGTGGAGGGACGGCTGTGGAGAGGTGCACACCTCCCTGCAGGGACACACCCGGGTCATCAGGTAACGACGGTGGGGGGGGCTCAGGGTTTCATCCCTGGGGAACACGGGAGGCTGTCTGTTTCCAACAGTCAGCTCTACAGGCTAATAACGGTGTAACTGTTCTCTGGTCTGTTCACACTAGTTTACAAGTACAAGTATGCTTCTGTGAATCCATCTGACGTATATTCATACTTGTGCCAATCAGACATCTTACTGTGATCCAAAGTCAGCATTGTTAATGTGTGTTGTTATTGAGGAGTCTCACTGTGATGTGTTGACATTCCCAGTGATCTGGACTGGTCTTGGTTTGAGCCGGAGTCCCTGGTCACCAGCTCAGTGGACACCTACATCTACATCTGGGACACCAGGTCAGAGCAAACCATGATAAAATCATCTGCTGCACACACATGAGCTGGCTCAGGCACACGGTTACCTGAACCACATAATGTTTAACCCTTCAACCTCAAACTCTGAAACAACACAGTCCCGTTCAAACAAACGTGACTAACTGTCTCACAGCTCCTTCACCTGCACAGCTACAGACTATTTCGCCTCATTTGCACATTTTTCCAACTATTTTCTGAGTCAGATAAACCATTAGTATGGGGACAATAGCTCAGACCTCTAGTTTTCAGTCTTTCTGTTTGACCCCACAGAGACACCCGGAAACCCGTGGTGGCCCTGTCTGCTGTCGGTGAGTACAGAAAGGACCAGACTGTGTTTTTAATCCAGCTGATTTATTTTCTCCTATCATCCATCAGCTTGTAGATCGATGTCCTTCCCTCCAGACGATTGTGCTCCTTTGTTTGTATTTTATTTGCTTTTGTTTCAGCCTTGCAGAGAATTTGTGCTCTGTATGTTGCATAGTTAAATAAAAAGAAGGAAGCACAACTCCAAAGTCAGATCTTTGCCATATCCATGTTTCTGTATTGTTTTCCCATGTCTGATTTTCTTACAGCTGACCTCCAGAACAATGTTACAGGTGAGGTCTAAATCTCAAGCTCCAAGCGTCATCACAGAAACCGATCAGAACAGAGCTTGTGTTTGCCTTCTAGGCTTCTGACCACAGATCTTAGTAGTTTGCTCTTCAGCAGCCAGCCTTGACTCTTCACATGTCAGAGTGTCCTTTAACGCATCACTAAGGATAAAAATACTGTTTGCCAAATAAAGGCAACAGCAGTGACTTATTCAATTTTGTCTGTTGAAACAATGAACTGGAACAAACGTCTGCCTGGAAGGAAATTTATCTAAAACTGAGGGATAATTTGGAAAAACAACTATCAGGAATGTAAAGTGAGAATTACTGGAGTTAAAGAGTCAGACCATGCAAAGCCAAACTGTGGCATCTGGTGTCTTCTCCTTTTGTTGTATGCCTTCCCAGCTGGAGCGTCTCAGGTGAAGTGGAACAGGAAGAATCAGTATCTGCTCGCATCCAGCCACGACGGAGACGTTCGGATCTGGGATAAAAGAGTGAGAGCTTCATCTGGAGTCATCAGATTTTAAAATCACTGAAGTTTCTGTTTGATCACTCTGTGAGCTGTGTGGCTGTGTCAGTGAAGTGATCTCTCCTGGTCTTCTCTGAGCAGAAACCAAACACGGCAGTGGAGTACGTGGCTGCTCACCTGTCGAAGATCCATGGCCTCGACTGGCATCCTGACAACGAGTTCATCCTCGCCACTTCAAGCCAGGACAACTCAGTGAGGGTGGGACTACCGAGACACCACAGTCAAAGATGTTTATGTCACACATTTTATTTAAGGGTTTAAGATTAGATTTATGTGACTTTGAAAAATACTGTCAGACGTTTCAGCTGGTTTATGCCATCAGTGTTTAACCTGCACCTTCTCCCTGGTTGTAGTTTTGGGATTACCGACAGCCCAGGAAGTACCTGAACATCCTGTCCTGTCAGGTGCCGGTGTGGAAGGCCAGGTACACGGTGAGTATCAACACCTGAGCCCATGCTGTACACTCTGCTGTACGCAATAAGCTCAAACATACTGAGCACAGGAGGGAAATTTAGCATTACATGAAGAAAGGGACCGGACCGGCAGAGAGATAATCAGAGTTAGAAAGGTGGAGACGGTTCATGGCCTTCAACCAGCTATAAATGGACAGTGTCAACCATGTCGGTGTGTCTGAGACCACACTGTACCACATGGTTTCTGTGTGTTTTTTGTGTGTCGTCTCAGCCGTTCTCCAACGGTCTGGTCACAGTGATGGTTCCTCAGCTGAGGAGAGAGAACAGTCTGTTACTGTGGAGCACACTCGACCTCAACAGTCCCGTCCACGCCTTTGTCGGACACGATGACGTGGTGCTTGAGTTTCAGTGGAGGCCGCAGAAAGAAGGTGAGACTTCTGCTAAGATTTAGGAGATGGACACTTTATAAAACCACATCCTACAATACCAGGAATTCCACAGTGAAGTTTTCCATTCCAGAAAATTACAGAACAGGAGACTCGTTGAAGGGTGGATCTTTTTTCAGTTTGGATGCAGCTAGGCTAACGGTTTCCCTCTGCTTCCAGTCAAAATGAAACACAAAACAGCCACACAGGGATGACTGTAAGGAGATGCAAATGTTTTCAGAAACACAAAATGCCCACCAAGAGACACTAAACATCCACAAAGAGATGCAAAATGACATGCACGAAGAACACAGAGAGGTACCAAACATCATCAAAGGCAAAACATAACCTTAAAGAGAGAACCAAAACCTTCTGTCTTGCTTCTGTGTAGGAGGGTGGGTCTTTCACATGTTACGACTGAGGCTTTCGCCGACGGTCCAATCTGGAAAACATTTGCCTTTGCAGCAGAATTAACCTGCTTGTCAAACTTCAGATTCCTGTGAAATATCACACCCAAATTATTTACATCTGACTTTAAGCTGGGGGCTAGAGGCCCAAGATTAAAGTCTGAAGATAATGTTTTCAGTTTTTACTGAAAAAAGAGAAAGGTTTGTGACAGCCAACGTTTAATGTCATGCAGACATTCAAACAGAGATAGTAATGGATTACTTTCTCTCAACTTCAGAGGCAGATAGATCTGCAAGTCATCTGCGTAACAATGTATGGAGAGATTGTACCTTTCTATAATCAACGTCCAGAACAGGGTCAAGGCAGCTGTAGCTGAAAGCTCCAGAACGCCCAGGGTCTTGTGGTGCTGTTGGTAACCTACTGTTTTAAAAAGTCAAGAGTCTAGGGTTACCTCACACAGTACCTGCACACATAGAGAGTGCACGGTTTCATGGATCAGAGTTTTTTAGTCCAATATCTTATCCTGTTTGTGTGTATCACACCAGTACTGACACTGAGCAGCACAGCTATATGAAGAGGTGGTCAGTTAATGGATCTTTATCCCATCTGTAGCTCACACAGTATGTTGTCAACTATTCTTGTGCTGTGTGAGTCGCTGATTTAAGATGCAGGGACTGAGGAGGTTGTCTGTTGTGTTACTGTTGTTGGCTGTGCAGGCTCTAAGGATTACCAGCTGGTCACGTGGTCCAGAGATCAGACTCTGAGGATATGGAGGGTGGATCCTCAGCTGCAGAAGGTCAGTGTGCAGCCTCATACAGATGTGCTCACCTGATGGGATTTATTCTGATGTTGGTGGTTGTTGCTGTCGTTGTGGTGCAGCTGTGTGTCAGTGATGTGGCGGAGGAGCTGATGGAGGGGATGTCTCTGACAGTGGAGGCGGAGAAGTCTTTGTCTTCCCAGGTGCCTGAGAGTCAGCATGGTGTCGGCCCCACCGCCAAAAACCTGCAGGGTGAGATGGAAACGTGTCAGCACCAGTTCCAAACTACACACCAGATGCCCAGGTTCTGTAGTAACACGTTTTCACAGTTCACTCAGCTTCCTACAGCACCGCTCAAAGGAAACAAAGATCCGCTGGAAAAAGAAAACAGAAGGGTGGCTGGTGAAGATCATGATGTTGAAAGTCATTTTACCTTCTCTTCACTGGGTGCAATTTGCTGTTTGATACGTGTCCATCAGCTCAACACTGCATCATTTTCTTTAACTACAACAATGTAAAGTGTATTTATTTTATTGTATATTAACTGCCAGAGCTCTCTTCACACTTAGTATACAGTACATACTGTATAGTGTTATCAGTTAGCAGTGTACAGCTGAGATTTTTGACATCTGTGTAGCTGTGTGTAAATGTTGTCGCCTGTGTAATGCAGACACCTGAGGCAGAGACAGAAGCACATACCTGTCCGGCTTTGGACAGTGTTCCTTTCTCGCTGTGAATGTAGTTGCTTCTTGAAATAAAAACTCACAGGA